GGGGTCTCAACTCACCGTGCGAATAATATTGTCTGGGCTGAACGAGCGTCAGTTGTACCAATGCTGGTGCCGATTGAGGATGTGGAGAAGATAAACTCGGTGAACGAGACTATCCTAGTGGAAACTTTAAGCTTAGAGGCCGTCGTTTGTGCTTAGGTACCTCCTATCGTGCATCCAGAGATCGACAAAACGTGCAGTAGTGAGCTCCCTACATTAGTGCAGCAGCCAATTGAGCGGACACTTACTACTAATAGAATTCCTGGTGACCACAATACAGTATCGTGGCATCGGGATTTTTGATTCGGTGGAAACTGACACCGGAACTCGGCGATTTAATGGTTGTGAAGTAAATCTTGTGGTTCTCTGCAAAAGCATTAAAAGGGCTACTTGAGTTACAGCCTACTAGGTGCAACCCGGCTCCTTTTCAGAGGTGTACTCTTCCCAACCACGTACCAAAATGGCTGTGCGGTCGCTGTATGCAAAGCAATGGGAGGATGCATGAGAAACGGGAGCTTTGCGCCATCACGGGGTCTGCATTGCTGTTGGCCAAGGTTTTGCGGTGATCGCCAATCGTGGGGTGGTTGCGGTGAAGGATACGCAGGGTCACGTGAAGCGTTTTAAGGCAAGCCTTGGCGTGCATTGTTTCAAACAGCGCTTTGGAATCAATTTCAACGAGACTTTTGCACCAGTAATTTGTTTTGATGCAATTCGTGCTGCTCTCTATTGTGCTGTACAACGAGGCCGGATGATTTGCGGTTTAACGTAAACATCACGTTCTGGCATGATACTCTGATCAACAAAGTCTTCCTGGAGCTCCCACATGGATTTGGTGCACCAGGGAATATCAAGGTATGTCGGTTAGTTAAGGCTTTGTACGGACTTCATCAAGAACCTAATGTTTGCGCGAAGACACTACATCGACATCTCTTGACACTTGGTTTCGTTCGACTGGAAAGTGCTCATGGTTTCCACGCTCTTCACGAGAACGGGGAGATAATCATGCTTCTAACTGTCGATGTGGACGATCTACGTCTAATGGGAAGAGCATATTGATGTGAAGCCATTGCAGCTCAACTAGTCTCCCGTTTTGAACTTGGCACGCTCGGATTTGTGAAATACCAGTTGAAGTTGTTGTCGATCGAGAGCTCAACAGAGTGTTGTTCAGTCAATATTGATGAGGTATTGTGCCGTTTTCACATAAAAGACTGCGGTGCTGTTGCAACACCGGAAGGCAGTTCAAGCGATATATTTCAACAGCGTGTTGGCACCGGTGCGCTGACACCAGTGAGTTAAGTATCGTGAAGTTATTGGAGTACTACCATATCTAGCTTCAGGCTCGAGACCCGACATCGCACATGTTGTCCGCTGACTTGGGCAATACATGTCGAGCTACGAGGCCAGTCTCTACGTTTCCAGCAATGATACGTTGGGGCAATGATATTCATTGTGTCACACCAAGGGCGTGGCGTGGCGGTCGCCCAACAACGAAATGCTACCTGTCGCGCTTCACCTGTCCGATGTTAGCCCTCGACTGGAGGTCGCCGTGCTAGCACATGTGCTGAGAGAGTTTTGATGATCCGGTCGCCGTTAGCACGGGGTACTCCTCGAACGCGTTTGACAACCATCTTCCCATCACCTTGATAACAAGTCAGTCCGCCCCCGAATAGCATCCGACGTAATCCCACTATTCCACATCGATAGCGCCGGGTCTCCCGGTCTCGTAGCAAATGTTCTTGCCGCCTTGTAGACCCACCGATCCGCTCTAACTGGGCATAGGAGTCGATCTTTGGACTTGTAGTGATAGCAGACCTTCTCACGCCCAAACGGATTGTTTTTCGCGCCATGAAGGGTAATACCCACCACCTTGGCTCGCTTCGGGGGTACAGGATCCTCGTTTGTGTCGAAGCATTGTATACCCGACAATCGTAAGACGTAGCTGTCAACTCTTTTACCGATGAATAAGTATTCAGACCGTCTGAGGAGGAAAAAGTATCCCAGCAGTAGACCACCCCACAAAAGCTGGTCGCATGGCAGCGTGAGATTGATGTCGACGAAAATCACTCGAAGTAGCCGAGCAGACTGGGGCCGCTGCTTTACCACGGGATCGGTAATCCGGCGAATACCCCGCAGCAGGATGGCGTGACTGGCGTTGACGCCTGGGTCGTACCCTGCCGTATTGCGATGGAACCACCGAACTGCGCACAGTTTTGCGCATATCGTCGAAAATGTGTTGCCTTTTTGCTGACGATTCATGCCATACTTCCACAGGTAAACCGCAAACGCTCCAAGTTGCTCGGCGTTCTTATCTGTGTCCGTCGCCGTGAGCCATGGACTGAAGCGCATCATACTGCACCAGGCGACCCATTGGCCCCAAACGCGCGAGTAGTGCTTACTTGAGGACTGAGAGAGTTCACCTGCTCGCAATAGTGCTCCCAAAGACGCGAGAAATTTCGAGAGCCGCTCGGGATCTGCACCTGTTGCCACCCACAGCAAAAGTTAGCAAACAATAGAGCCATCGAAGGCGACTTCCACACCCTGCTGCCTGCATCCGCCATTTGATTATTCACACCAGGAACGTGAGAGGCTGTTCAATAGAAACCATGTTGCAAGTCAGAACGTCCGAGGATGCGGAGCAGCATTTGAGCAAATCCATTGCGACTCGACTTGCAATTACTCCATGCGACTGCCGAAATATTATCAATCCAAAAGCGTACATGAGAATCACCTTCATGTGGTGCAAGCTTCCACAGGTGACCCCATAGAAGAGAGGCAAAGACAGCACTCATCAATTCCCGAACGTTGATGCAGAACGTGTTATCGTCCGCATCATTGCAGCTCTGGATTACCTCAAGTTCCTCAACAGTGAACTTCACTTGAAAATACTGTCGATGTGCCGGGAATAAAGCACACAGACCTTGATCATTGGCATCCATGTGAATGTGAAAATCTGGATCATGACGTCGAGTGAAGCGAGCAAACAGGATTGAGTTCAACTTCCAACTTGGACGATCAACTCAAACCACCGTAAGTCATCCTTCGCTTCAGTCGACACCGGGATGGATCCAAAGCTTGGTGCACTTCGTGCAAGCAAAGCAACACGCTGGAAGAACGGCGCTGCCGACCTAATACATGTGACGATGTGTCGTAGACTGCCCAACAGCTTAAGTAGCCCCGTTCTTGTCGTTCTATCACGTTTGGCCATGTCATAAAGACGGCTTAGTGCTTTTGAGACCTTTGATGGTGGCATTGAGACTGCTTTTGCGCTGAGATCCCAGCCCAAGCCTAAGGCCCGACCCTTCTCGAACCAAGTTGTGAACTTCTTCTCATTACACGCATCAGGTCCCAAACCGTTTCCATCGCCAAGCGAAGTACGATTCGAGCTTCTGCTAATCTTGTACCGATATCGGGCTCGACGGCATGTGATCACCACACCACGTCTTCGCATCAAAATTTTCTTTAGCCTCGATAGGTTGCAAGGGCCACTTTGGTGCTGAACCAGCATACAAATGGCTGATAGCTGCTCCGGCGATCCAATATGACACAGGCGAATTATTCCAGCCGAATGGACAGCACAGGTCAATAACCAATATACCAAGCTCCGGGAATGTGCCAGCAAAACGCCGTACGTGATCAGCTGATATCGGTATATTCCAAAATGCCCCATTGACATCACCCGTCATCATTCGTTTTAGCGAGGGATACAGATCAGCAACATCTAGACCCCGGTTAGCCAGAGCGTCTGTCCTATCGTAACAAACTTCAACCTCAGATTCGGGTACCGTGTTATCATTCACTGAGTCTCCAGGTGGGTATGAGAGGTCATGAATGATTCTTGCGTCAACCAAACGATCTGCTTTACCTTTTGTATAGCTCCGAATGGGCTACAGGTTATACCTTGTCGTTGGGGTAGTAAATCGATGTCTAGGATAAGGTACCGGTTAGAATCCTGACCAGTCCGTAAGTACTTGATGATGACATTCAAAGCTCGAGCTGCAGACCCATGATTCGGTGGTGCAGTAACTTGTTCAGTGAAGGCTGACTTCCACTCTGGAGTAACATCGTTCAAGATAATTTGAATCCACCATGAGCTATACCGATAACCTTCTCAGTTAGGTACTCCAGCTGGCTCTTCTAGGGCTTTATTTGGCCGCGGATCTTGCTCAGATTCACCCCTCAGTAACCGCACCAACTCAGGTAACTGAATCCCGCTCGATGAAAAATTCACTGTATACGGCTTGTTTGTTTCTATCCAAAAGGTTGACTACGGATCCATTGTCAATATCGGAAGATGGCATCAACACCGGCTCAAGACCGTGACGTCGAAGGAAATGATGAAGTGCGAGCTCAGCGATTTCCAGGTGGACAGATGCCAGGCGCTGACGAGCGAGCGTGGTTGCCTCAAACCGTTGTTGTTGCGTCCGTATAAAGCTGCTAACAGAAGCCAACATCATCGCTTCACGTTGAGAAGGGGTGGTCAGACTCGGAGTCGTGGGCCTCCCGAGTAAAGGATGTGTGGGCGGGCCCGGCGGCATGAGCCGATCGAGCGGTCGGAAGGTGGACGGGCCCGGCGGCATGAGTCGACTGAGCGGCCCAAGAGTGGACGCGCTCATCGATACGAATCGATCGAGCGGTACTGAAGTGGACGGGATTGACGGCTTGAGCCTGTCAAGCGGTCCAGTACTTGGAATTGTAGGTGTTTCCTTTTGTACCGGTAATCGATACGGTAGCTGGGCCGTGACAAGACCGACGTCCACGTCCAGGCACCTTCACTGTAGATCTTCAGCTAAACCTCCATAGTTTTTGTCGATGTAATATCGCACAATATCCGGTATCGCGGCATGTTTGAAGTGGCAGAGGTTCTTAATGACACAATTACCATTCTTACCCCGGCACCCTTGAGCAGATAAGAAGCGCACGCAGATTTGTTTCTTGCCTTGCTTTGGTAGTGCTTGGCGAACTTCAATAGGAATGACCGTGCGCCTCTCCGAATCGTTCTTCACTTGATAGTTCTGCCGATTAGAGCTCGCGTTGACTACCTTCACTGCAGCAATAATATCCTGGTGGAGGATAATTTGATGCACACGGACGAAGTACTCATCGGCTGAAGTGAAGTCGGACTTGACTTTATCCAATTCTTGCCAGTCCGCTCCAGTTATATGCAGGTGGAAAAGTTCTAACTGGTCGTCTAGCCACGCGACTACTTCACTCAACGCTTCATGGGATGATAGTAGCTCTCTAACCCGTAGTTCACCTATAAACTTTAATGCAGCCATGAGCGTTTCGTAGACGACCGGTTTGTAGAGCTGCTGTGCAATGGCACACAATATTTCCACTGCTCCAACAATGACCGAGAAATCTGCGGGAGCTGGTACTGCCGGGAGAGTATTCTTCCTTGAGAAGTTACTGATGTCATTCCTCGAACTCGAGCTCTTCTCCGACTCTGTCACCCGGGTAAAATGTAAAATTGACAATCCTCTCGTACCCAAGTCCCAACCAAACAGCGCACGCAGGACAGCAGGGTGTGGAAAGAAACCAAACTTTCTCCAATAAATCTGCACAGATTCGACAAAACGTTGAGCCGTCATTTGCTCATACTTACCATTTACGAGAGCCAAGTGAATGGACGTCAGCATTCCAGTCGGTTGAAATTGGTTTTTATCAGCAGCATTCAGATCCCGTCGCCCAACGGATTGACCAATGTCGGCGGAAACGCCACCATTATGTTCAAGGGAGATGAGGTGGTCCACTTCTTCACCTAGCGGAGCGGCTCCAATCGCTTTGCCAACTTGCCCAGGGAGAAGAACTGTAGCGGTCGCCACTGGGGTTAATCGCCTACGTTTCGCCTTCTGGTTCCTGGTTGAGAGCGCTTTCTCCGCCACCGCCTCTGCCTCGTCATCCTCGGAGTCGCTAAGACCATCGCTCAACATCGATTCGGTCTCCTCCAAAGCATTGGGGGCCGAGGCCTCGGTTTCGGGTCGATTGGTGTCAAAAATAGTATCGCCGACCTTCGTACCAGTCGAATGTGGGCGCCCACCTTCTTTATAAAACACGTAATCGAGAACATGCGGGACGTTCACTTCTGACACCTCAAAGTTGGTAATATCGAGAAGTGTGATGATCTTGAACTCGTCCACCGCCGTTCCCTTCACCTCGGTAAGATGAACTGCAGAGTCTCATATAGCGTTCAGGTCGATATGATTGAACTGTTCGTACAAAAGCTCGTGCGTCATCTTCATTTCTGCTGCCATGACAAGACTGGTACTTTGGCCACCGCATGGACGCAGGGCATAGATCTCCACGGCAACATCCTGAGTGAAACCGGGCGAGTACACAATAGACGCTATCTCGTTGTCGAAATTCACATCGAGACAGCCCCGTTGGGTAGCCGACTCTCACTTGTACCCCACTACAAGACCGTAGTCCCAAACACGAGCACCTCTAGACCGAACCCGGGACGTGCAAATGGCACTGCCTACAAATGTCCCCGCACCATCAAGGGCTTCCTCAACAGATACGGTCTTTAGTGCCAGTTCCTCTGACGCCAACTCAACTGCTTAGCTACTTCATCCTGCCAACGACCACTTGGTACTAGCTTAACCTTCACCTTGCTTCCGCGCGTTGTCGCGCTCTCGTTTTTGCCATAAGCGAACCCAACGATTGAATGCGCCAGGGCAAAGATAAAAAAAGCTTGGCGCCATGGGATCTTGTCGTATGTGTCCGGAAAGGTTAGCCTTGGAGGTTGTTAGCTGTTGCGAGAAAATTCTCAAC